AACCTGCGCAAAGGGTGGCTTTCCTGTTGCCTTCCCTTTCAGCCAACCCCAAGGGTACCCTCACAAACTGACACACCCAAATAGAGCTCTGCGTTGGAGCTGTGAAGATGTTCCGCCCGCCTGCCTCAAGTGCTGCCGTCGACTTCCAGAGGATGCGGTCACAGTACGAGGGCGTACGCTCCTGCGTGGATTTGCTGTCGCACGACCTGCAAATCTTGCCTGCAATCCGGTGGCGAGATCATACCTGGTGCTTGTTGCAGTGGAGAGAGGTACATCAACCATGGTATGAGTTGCTGGGAACATCAAGCAATACAACTCTGGTTCACGTGCCTCTCTGAAGCCTGCCAGTCAACTGACCTTCCTTCCACCCGAGCCGTGGGAACTCTCACAAGGCCCTCCTCTTGGTGGGAGACGCCCGGCTTCCGCTCCACCTTGAAGGTGGGGGGGAAGTCCATCCGACCCTCGTGGAAGCCCGCAAAGGCCTACTTCGAAACGGGCGGAGGGGGCTGGTGCCTGCTTTCCTCTCGCGGGAAAGCACCAGAACATCGCACTAGAACCTTCAAAAGAGAGCCCTCATAGACAAGCATCCTGGTGTGCGGGTCAATGCCATGATACTCCAGCATCCAGGTTGAAGAAACAAATTCTTGCTGGCAGAAGCTGGCAACCGGCCCATCCAAATCCAATGTGCCAGCAACGGTCCACCAATCCGTATCCAACAGCTCCGGTGGAACCCTGCCGGGGCCGTCCGGAACCCAATTCAACAATCTTTCTGCGGAATAATAATAATAATAATAATAATATTGTTTATGAAGGTGATGATGATACTAAGAATGAGAAGAATAAGAATAATATGAAGAAGAACCTGAATAATTAAAACAAATGGAAGTAATGATAATATGAGTAGGAGTAGGAGTAGTAGTAGCAGTAGTTGTAGTAGCAGTAGTAGTCGTAGTAGTCGCACCAGTAGTAGTAGTAGTAGCAGCAGCAGCAGCAGCAGCAGCAGTAGCAGTAGCAGTAGCAGTAGCAGTAGCAGTAGCAGTAGCAGTAGTAGTAGTCCAGGTAGTACTAGTAGTACTAGTAGTACTAGTAGTACTAGTAGTAGTTACAATAGTATTACTAGTCATAATAATAACAATAGTCATAATAGTGATGAAACGAAAACCTTCTGGAACCCTGCCGGCCTTGCCAGCACGCCTGAATTGCCGAAGCTGATCGTGCTCCAATAGCTCCTGGCAAACATCAAGAATTGCCGAGTGCATTGGCTCGTGGGGCAACTCTCGCCGCACACCTTGAAAAGACAATGGTCAATCATCTCCAAGATGGTCGTGAAAAGATCTGGCCCAGAAGTTGCATTTGGTGTTGGCGTCGAATCCTGCAAGGGCTGTAGCACATGGCTGCAAACCAGAGCGAACATTAGAGTTTGCTCTTGCTAAAGAGTCCACGTCAAGTCCTGCCTTGTCCAAGCGCACCTCTTTCTGCTTGCCCAGTGCCAAAGTGGGAAGCTCCTTCGGTGTCGAGAAAGTTAACTCAACCATTGCAAGTGCGCTGTGCTCATACTCTGAAGTCCTGCTCCGATCCAGTCAAATCCAAATCTATTCGATAGTTCAGATCTCCGAACCAGAAGCAGTGGTCAAACCTTGACAATGGCAAGGTCAGGCAACTCTGCAAGACTGCTCACCGAGGACCCTGCTGGGTTGTAATGTCCAAATCCGGGTGGCACACGGGCCATGTCTCTTGAATAATTTCCTGGCAGTCTTTGTTCCGCTTCTCCGCTGCGCTCCTAAGCTCGTGAAGCTTGCATGTCCGAAGCAATAAGGATGGTTTCTCTCTTCCGCCACTCTTAGGCAAGGCAAAACAAGTCTGGTTGGGAGTTGATTCCGGGATCGTCGAAAGATTGGTCAGTCTCAAGCAGAAGGCTTGCGGGGGGATTAAGTCAGGCTCCCCGGCAATTGCTTTGGCCCGATCAGCTCGTTTATTGAGAACATGCTGCACCTATTGGGCTTTCAATTTGAAACGAAACTTTTGATAGAAACCGCTCAAAACCCAACATTTTAGGGGGGCGTTCCCCGATTAGCATGTTTTAGAGACAAACATATGTGTTGGAGATCCTTTGGAATTTGGCATTTATGCAGGGGCTTGCAGAGTGTGTAAATAGAATCTGCATGAATCTGCTGCTGCGGTTATTGTTGGCAGTTCCTCCTGTGCACCTCAAATCACTGCCAGAATCGTCAGCAGCTGACATTGAGCAAATCGTTCAAATTGGGCGTGCGTTCCCCCAACTGGAGATGGGCGTTGGTGACATGACAAAACACTTTGCGTGAGACATGTCATTCCCCTTTGTGGTGAGGTGTGGTGGGTTGAGCTGTTTGAATGATAGGTCAATATCATAATGCTGATTTCTGTCCGATTGAGGGCGTTGCAACCGTCAAAACTCATAGCCCCTTGAAATGAGAGGGCAACCAAAGGAAATCCGCCAACCTTCAAGGATTCACCCCCTTTGGTTGTGCCAGTCTCTCTCTCTCCCTCCCTCTCCCCCCTCAGGCCCTCCCTCTCTCTTGCCTTCCGGGTCCATTCCATTTTCACAATTCCCCCTGCAAATGATCATTTAAATGCAAACCGCCGGGTCCCACCAGTAATTTGGAGACCTCGAGTATTCACTTTCAGGTCCCCTCTAGATGCTAAGGTCCGGTCTGGTGGGCGGCCAAATGGCAGCTCACAAAGCACATGCTCACGGGCCCCAGGTGCATCGTCACCACCAGGCCGCCTTTGTTGCCCACCTGAGGCTGTCCCATGGCTTCTCAAAATCGTTGGACCATCCAGGTATCCACTCATCGAAACACATCTTCCATTTACGGGGAACCCCCATTCAATTCTGGGAACGACCCGTTCCCTTGTTCCATCTGAGGATCCCTGAAGGTTAGACCCCGTTCCCTTTTCTCGGGCCTCCCTCGCACTAAGGTGCCCACTGTGCCTGCCAGTAGGCCGGTGGCAGAGTAGGTGTGCTGCACCGAATGGACCAAAGGACCATCCTGCCACTTGATAGTGCCATCGCAGTATTCGGATCGCGCGAAGACCAGCAGGCGCATACTCATCAGGACCACCTGGCACGGTGGCTATGCGTTTCGATTGTTGGCTTCAGAACATGATTTGCCTGGGGATTCATGTCCACCAACCTTGTTGGGGTTCCCCATTACAATTCATGGCCAGGAAGTCTGGGACTCGGAAACCACGCCAACTCGGATGCACCCGCGCGAAATCCGCCTGCTGAACCCGCGCGAAGCCATCTCCGAGCCGCTCCGCCAAGATGTCATCCCAGTGGAAGGTGAAAGCCTGGCGATCGAATCCATCGCGAGTCGCGAACGCGGAGCAGTGCGCCCTCGCAACCTTTGCAACCAGTGGTGCCCATTGCACCCAGTTTGGGTCCCCTCACCATTTCAGCCCAATCACGCCATCATACCGGTAGCAACAAATGATTGAGCCGTGAGCACGTGCTTCTCTCGACACCACTCAAATCCACGGGATGGCAGTCGGCACTTGAAAGCTCAACCCATCTCCCTACCTCCTCGCCCACGCTCCGGATCTTACGCTCGGGGCTGGGGTCGCCGCTGCGGGGCGTGATTGTGTGAATTGCCTCCTCCACCGCACCCGACAGCATCGGCAGCTGTTTCTTTCCTGAGCCCCATAGATAAAGAACCATGCTGCGGGACGCCGCAAATGAACTGAACATGTTAGCATCCGTCACGATGAATGCCTTTTGGATGGGGCATAGTAGGATCAGCCCCACCCTACTTGGACAGCCTGAACTTTGAACTTTGGAGCTCAAGCCACCAAGCTAAGATCCAAACACAAGTCGTCCATCTGCCTCTTTGTGTAGAAAATGCCTACAAAGCTTGTCTTTGATGCCTAAGAACTTGTTTGACGCTTGTCCTATTTGAAGTCGGTCACACACTCACCATGGGCAACCTGGCCTTGTGGTTTGGGGAACTCGGAGCCAAACCAACTTCCCGGCACCTTGACGGACAGACCTTGGAAGGCTCACCAAGGCGCCGCTACCCTTCAACGACTTCCGCCGCTTTGCACTCCGCTTGGGCACGGTTGTCCAGTCGTCCCAGGTGTAGCTGCACTCTTGCACCCCCACCGCGATGACATCAAAGTCACCTCCAAAGGCGTTTTATTAGCTTATGCGAAGGCGTTTTGTTAGCTTTGCAGGATGTGTTTGAAAAGGAAGGCACGAGAACACGTGGCCACTAAAGGACTCGACACACGCTTGAATTTCCGGCCTCCTTTGTCAGGAAGCCATTGCTCCAGCTCCTCCTCGTACGGCTTTGCATCGCCCATGTTCCATGTAAAACAAAGAACCTGCGCGGTACGGCAATCGCAACACACCATGACACAAGGATGCCTCGTAACACCACACACAGGAGCATTGCCATATTTGGCAATGGGAAAGGATTCCACACTCCGGGCCTTCAGATGCTGCCACGGCTCGTGCGGGTCGGGCAACCGAACATGCGGCTGTGGCATATGCACCTTGAAGGTTCGAGCGCTTTCTGAAGGACTCTACTCAAGGAAACCCCAAATGGACGCTTTGCCTTGGGCTGCCACAAAAGGAAAACTACCCCAAATTGGGGGACCTGGAATTTTGAAGCCAAATCGGCTCTTCCTGGCAGGTGGCATCTACATCAGCGGCCGCTGCCATGCAGGGGCTCTCTAGAACTGGTAATGTCTGCTTGCAACTTGGCTTGGGGTAGATTTGGTGAGTGTGTGAAGGCTGAACATGTGCACGGCTGCTAAGCTTGTGTTGCCATCCGCCTTCTGGCACATCATCTGTGTTGAACCATAGCTCGCAAGGGGCCTCAAGCACCTAACATGGCAGTGTGAGACGCGCAAATTACTTGGCTGCCTCACGCCATGATTGCACATCTCATATCTTGCTATGCCTGAAGTTTGGCTTGACCCCAAATCCACCACTGATAAATCGATTCCGCTAAACCCGTCTCCTCCTCAGAATGCGCAAAGGGACATTGCGCACCCATGCTGCACTTCTGCTTCTTGTTGAAGACCTCAACGTCCGTCAGCTCCCAAAAGCCAAGCCAGCATTGAAGGGTGGGTTGAAGAAAAGGGACGGAGATCACAGGTTTTGGCACTGTCCCATACCTGGGATCAGGGGTCAGCAGATTCGAAGGTTAAGAAGTATCCACACCGAGTCTGCCGAAGTCATCCTTATGGGAGCATATCTGGCCATGGGTCAAAATCCAAATCGTACCCCCAGTGAACATCCCAATCCCAACTAAAATTGACTAAAATGGGTGGTGCACCTACCCCAACCTGGTGCCATTGGTTTTGACCCACAGCCATCTCAGTTCCATCGTACTGGGCACCTCACGCACATCTTGGTTTTGTGAAACTGCTCTCTGATCTGCGGCGAGAACTTGCTGCTGAGCCTGACAAGCCCAAAGCATCCGCCCCATCCACATCCGCCCAAGTTACGTGACCTCATACCTCATGCTAGCCCGCTAGGCTCAGCGCATGGAGGGGTCAAACCATTGCGCTGCTTCCGGAATCACCACAGGGCCACTCACTGTGTCCTGCACCATGGACCCATGGCTCGGCTGAAAAACAAAAAACGAACGAGTCCGAGTCGTGCTCTCCTCTCCTCACGAGGAAGAAGACTGTGGGTCAAAATACCATGTTGGGGTAGGTGCACCGCCCATTTTAGTCAATTTTAGTGGGGATTGGGATGTTCACTGGGGGTACGATTTGGATTTTGACCCATGGCCATATCGATGCGGGAAAAAAAACACCGCTCCTCTGTGACGCCCATGGAGGTCCAATAGGACACGTTGTTCTCCAAGCCCTGCACCGGGAAGAAGTTCACGCTGCCCTGGCAGGCGAGTTCTCGCCGAAAGCTCCGAATGAACAAAGCGCCGCCGATCGGGAGCGGAGCGCATAAATTAGCCTCGTGTTTGCAACCAGCTGATCCTATGCGTTTCCTGCAATAGACATAGTTCTGCTGGATAGTTGTCCTTTGGAGGAATTGTAACATGCCTGCAGCCCGTTTTGGTCGCTCGGGCAGGAAAACGACTGTGCTGGCAACCTCGTGGAGTTCTACAATGGGGGGGGCCCCCATCAATGGTTGGGGTTGAAAGGGAAGGAACTGAGTTTCAGCCACTGCCTCGCCCAGCTGCTGAAAGAGCTGCTGGCATATCATCCTGAGCTCTCAATGGCACAATGGCAGGGAGAGCAGTTTCAAAATAGGAGAGCCCACTCAAGTCGAGTTTGTCCTTTGGTTTCCGTGGAAAACAAGCCCAGATGCCTTCAAAAATGGAATGCGCTCACACGTGGAATGAGGTTGTCTACTCAAAACACCATGGTCAGCAGAATGCCACGAACATGGCACGCACATGGTCACCAAGAGTATCACACTGGGCGAATTGGGGATCTGCGTGCATCTGTTCGTCCGGAGACATCTCCAAGTCCCTGGCACACAACTTGGATCCACAAAGTTCACGACAGCGCATTGGCCGTATTCTTCCTGCCTGCCCAGTCGGAACGACCACCCCCAGCGCCCGCACTTCTCGAGAGACAAGGCGACGTTTTTGCCGACTTCCCCAAAGGCAAACGAGGGCGGCCTTTGGCTACCTTCCCATCAATTGGGTGTGGTTGTCAAAAATAGGGTAACCCCAGAATGGAACCTGGTAAATGGCAACAAAGACTAAAACATGCGGTCCCCTGGTGGTGTAATTTTGACCCATACCCAATTCAACTCAGCGAATGCCTCTCCGCCGGCATGTAGAAGAAGTTGTACGGCAATCCCCACCCCTCCAGCTGAAGCCTGCGCAAAATTGCACTTTGTGGCACCCAACCTGGAAGCGAGCGCGCACCTCAGGGACTGCGCGTCGTAATCTGGGATCTCAGTGATGACCACCTCGGCAACCCGGCACCCCTGATTCTCCCTGTGATTCTGGGTCAGCTTTTTGAACAACCCTTGAGTTTCTGCGCCATTACCCTTCGAGGGTCGGCCCAACAAAGCGAGCGGACTGTCGGACTGCCATGCGAAAACAAGGGCACCCTCTTCTTGGTTGGTGTTAACAGCCAAATATTTTATTGTGCCGTCCCATGTCCAGGAAACGTTCACCCCCCCCCCCCCGGAATCCGGTGTGTGTCGAAGGGTGTGGAACAAAGAGAGCGAAAAACTGACGCAAGCCGAGCTCCCGGCCGTGGTGAGCGGCAGCGCCTGCGAATCCTCCGCCTGCGAACGGCACCCCGGTGGCCCAGTTTCACCCATGAAATATAAATCCTCCAAAATCAAACCAAGCCAGTTGCTTCTCAAACAAAAAAAAAAAAAACATGCTAACAGGGAACTCTCACAAAGGAATGGAACTGACTTTTTGTTGTAAGGCAGGACTCCTTCAACTTCCCCCTCCCCCCACGGGGCACGCCTCCTTGCGCCCTCTGCGCCGCCGCGGCCTCCTGGAGCCCATGGCGTAGCTGTACGCAGAGGCGGTCATCGCCTGGCCGCTCCGAAGCGCGGACAGTGTTCCCAAAAAACGGTCGTCCGAGGCCAATTCGCCAGGAAATGACCTCCGACTTCATTCGAATTTTTACACAACGTCACTTTAAGAAACCTGAAACGGGTAGGAAACCCCCGACCTGGTAGGCCATGGGGACGAAGTCTGGCGCATCCGCGGTGAAGGACCTCATGAGAACGTGGGGATGTGAGGCGAAGGGTACCATGCGGCGAAGGGAAACCAAAAGGAAACCACAAGGAAAACCCAAAAAAGCCTCTCTTGTTTGTGTGTTTTGTTGTTTATTGTTTGTGTGTTTCTTTGGGGGGGGGTAAGGAAAACCGAAATCCTTGAAATTGTTTGAGTGGGGGGATGTAAGGAAACCCCAAAATCTAGGTCTTGTGCATTTTCACAGGGGAGGCCCCGCGGTGCTCTCACAAGCCACTTGGCCTGGCGGGGTCTGAGGCGTGGACGAGAAGCCCAACATCTCCTTGGCTCAGAGTTCGAATCTCAGGAAACGGACCGTGCGGCCTGGAGCCAAGCCAAGCCCAACCTGCAGGCAAAGCACCTCCTCGAAGTCGTCCTCCTCCTCCCTTGGTGGCCTGCGCAAACACGACCTCAACTTCGTACCAAGAGGTAATCAAGGGCCGCAAACTCTGCCGTGCTGACTCTACTTGCTCCAGTACACTCAAGCAGTCAGCACTCTAGGAGCACCTTGAGCAGGCCCAGCTGACCCATGTGCTTAGGTTGCACAAGCTCCCGCATGCTGTGGTCAAACCATGTCGACTGGCCAGTTTGGACCGCGCTTCTGTTCCTACAATGCTGTAGGCAAACAAAGGAAAAGTGGTGAGCCATGTGAGCCAGTTGGGACGCAAACACTTTCACATGCGGCGGGTACTGAGGATGGTCCAAACTAAATACTCAGCTGCGCCTTGCGGGTCTGCCGGCCACCACGTCTGCGAAGTTCCGCACGAGGGCCTGGAAAGGGGGCGGGACACGTGAGCCCCGGACAGGAAAACGCGCTCCCCGAGGAAACTTGGGTGGCAATCTTGAATGGGGTGCAGCATCCATGCGGGGTTCCATATATTTCTTCATTCAACATCACGCCAATTCGAGCGAACTCACTTTGACATGGGCTGTCTCAAAAGTAGGGAAACTATTGGGAGCCAAAACTCCGGGTCTCTGAGGATACGTTTGGTCTGAAACTTTTGGGAAAACCAAAGACAGGCTTAAAGCTTCCAGCCCAGCAGCACTGGTAACGCGGGGAGGCACACCCAGGTACTCGCGTGTGGCTCCAATCGGCTCCAATCAGCTATGCCCTTAGGCATTGCAATAAAAAGGTTCCGGTTAAAGTCGGTTAAAGTGACAAAAGGGGAATTGCTGTTCCGAGTTTGGCCAACACTATGCTGATTTCAGAGTCCAGTCCGACTGCAATCTGTGCTGAATGCATGCAGTGTTGTCACTGTTAAAAACAAACGCTCACCCAGAGGAGGACGACAAAAAAATATCAGAAGGGCAACCAGTCAGTCTGAAAGGCCAGCTGTGAGAGACTGTCTGCCAGCCTTAGGTTCTTCGGAATCTTCTTGGACTTGTGAGGCAGTCACATCTGCTTTCACGTCTGCGTCTGCTTTTGCATTGGAAGCTTTTGGTGCCTTTGGCTCTTTCCGCGCATCAGAAGTACTGGCTGTAGGCGTAGGCCCAGCTTTTGGCTGCTTTGCGCTCTCTGCCTACAGGATTTTATTGAAACTTTGCATAGCATGGCCTCATGAACGACTTGCGTCTTGGACTTCCCGGTTCACCCCTTTGGCCCGACCCTCACCGGCATGATTTTTTGCGACAACGCCCGGCCTCCTTGGAAGCTTTTCTCGCTGGTGCTTCCGACTTCTTGTCCTGGCCTTGACGCTGCCGCAGTCGCTGCTTTTGCCGCTTGGAGAGCGAAGGCTCAACCTGCTGAGGCTCCACCTCGCATTCTTGGGTCTCCGATGGCTCCGGATCTTGCTGCGGATCCGGCTCAGCAGCAGGCTCCTGCAAGGGATCGGAGAGCATCCCGCTGGATATGGTTTGGCATCCCTGCCTGTTCACTCAGAATGTGGCCTGACTCCCTTCGGTCTGGCGATGCCTTCTCTTGGCCTGCACACAGAAATGGTGGTCTCGGGTCAAATAGAAGCAATGCGTGAACCGCTTGCGTCCCTAAGCAGTGCCTCGACGCTTGCCACTCCCACGAGATTTGGAGGGAGTACTCCTGGTCCAGCCATCGTCATTGTCCTGGCGCATATGCCGCCTGCGTATCCTCAACAAGCCTGAGTCTTCTCAAGCTGTGCCTACCACAGCGCGCCTCTGCAACGTCATCATCCAAAAGATCTTCATTGCCAGCCTACATGCAAAATTCCCTACAACTTCCCTTTCAGCCCAACGTAATTATCTCGTTTTTTGGCCACTTTTAGATGAAATCCTCCTCGTGGGTGATGCTTAATGATGAGACACGCATTAAGAGCATCTGACATGTCCCCGTTATCCCGTTACAGAATATCCATCGCTGGCTGTAACGGCCTTGAGATCCACGGATTTGACATCAATGATGTCCTGCTGCGAGCAAACTAGCGAATTGGAGGCTTGTCACTGGTCTCCAACAACGGCTGTTGAAAATCGCAAGATATGTGGTGTTGAGCTTGAACCCCGAGACGGAAGACGGAATGAGCATGTCAGAAAGCCAATTTGCAAAACCGGCCTCCTTGCATGGACGGATCTCAGCCGCAACCTGCAATTGAGCAGGGGTCACCTACACTGTCATCTGTATCTCTGCAAAGGAGCATGACCTCGCGCTTAAATGGCCATCAGCCACTCTGCTCGGTGCTTCATTAGACTCATTAGACTCTCTTGCTTTCCCAGGTGTCTGTATGTGGATGCGTGCACAAGTGCGCACGTGCGCCGCATGCACGCAAGAGCACGTGCGCATGTGCGCGTGTGCGCACGGATGCGTACGTGGGTGCGTATGCGTGTGCGCATGTGCACGTGCTGCACGTGGTGCACGTGCGCACGAGGGTGCGAGCTCGTGGGCGTGTGGGCACGTGGGCGCCCCACGCACGTGCGTACCTGCGATGGTGCGTGGGAGGGCGGGCGGGCGGGCGAGCGGGCGGACGGACAGGCGGACGAGCGGACGGGCGGGTGTGTGGAGCATAGTGCGGAATGTTGTTGCACTGGGATCTTGAATATCCAATGCCCAGCAAGCAAAAATTGCAGGGTACAACTGTTTTGCACTACTGCAGGCCAATCCGGTTGCCTCCTCCTCAACCTCGGCTTCCTCCTCTGCCTCGTCTTCCTCCTCAGCCTCGGCTTCCTCCTCACCCTCGGCTTCCTCCTCACCCTCGGCTTCCTCCTCACCCTCGGCTTCCTCCTCAGCCTCGGCTTCCTCCGCTTCAGCTTCGGCTGTCTGCTTCTTTGCCACCTCCCTCACGGAGCTCGCCTGCCCAACCGCGCAAATCAAGACTTCCCACCCTGGTCGCACGATCCTTCTCTGCGTGGCCAGCATCAGAGGTCGCCAACAGGAACATCCCGTGGATGGCCTTCATTGCGAAACCCTTTTGCATGCCAACAAAAGGCAAAACTCGCAGGGCACAATCATGTGCTTTGCCCTGATTGTCTTTACAGAACAAAAGTATCCCAACCAACAGTAGCCCCGCGCAATGGCCTCGCTGAACAGGCGGTCCGACTGCTGCTTCTCCCCCGAGGCGCTCTCCTGGCCAAATAACACCTGCGCGACATATCCGGTTGCCAGCCTCCTTCGTTTGACTAATGTTTTCTGACAGGCATTTTGGATGAGAAAGAGTGTAGAGCCGGTTGTCAAAATCATAGATACTCACTCAAAAGACGGACGGCACTACATTTCGCCAGGGTCCCATAAGGAGACCATTTGTTTCACACCCCCACATGTCAGCATGAATACGCGAATAAGCGCGCCTGCTTTCCAGTGTGAGTGCTTACGCCTTCCTGACAAGAACGCGGCGGAGTTGCAATGGCACAGGTGTCAAAGCGTGCATTGCTTGCATAGTTGCTTGATTGCTCGCTTGCTTGCTTGCTTGCTCGCTCACTCACTCACTCGCTAGCTCGCTTCATCTCCGTCTCTCTCTCTCTCTCCCTCCCTCTCTCTCTCTCTCACTGAATCGGCGTGCTCTGGTCGTGTGCATCTGTCGCTTTCTCGCTCTCTCGCTCTCTCTATCTCTCTCTCTCTCTCTTTCTATCTCTCTGTCAATCTCTGTCCCTGCTTCTCTCACTTTGTTTGTTTCCTTGATGCGCTTGTTTTGTTGCTTGTCGTGTGCTTGTTTTGCGCCGGGCTGAATCTGCTGGCAAATCTCTGTCTTCGAGGCCCGCCTCCGCCCCAGATCGTTCAGTTTCTTGTGCCGAGCCTTGCAGCTGTCAACCTCCCTCAGGCTAGCATGGAAGCTCCCTGGACCTCTGGCAAAACGGCTTTCTTTGACAGGATGGCAGGGGTATTTGGTTGTTTCATTTTGGCCTTGAGGGTCAAAGAGGCATGGCAGTCACGGGCCTTCAGCTGAGCCTTTTGCACGCCTGGCAGGCACTTGATTCCCCTGAATAGTGTGGGGGATCAAGGCAACCCTTATAAGTTGCCATGTGTGGTTGCTTTGTTGATCCCCCACACCATTCACAAGGGAAACCTTATCAAGTTGCAGTGGTGAACATCCCAATCCCCACTAATATAGGCTAAAATGGGTGGTGCACCAACCCCAAAATGGTACCATTGGTTTTGACCCACAGCCCAGTGGTGCGTGCTTGGTTTGCAAGAAAATCCACCGGGCACCGAGCTGAACCCCACGCCTTGCTTTGGCAGCTTGCTTCCGCTCCCTGCGCTGTGCAGCAGCTCGCTCCTTTGCCTCAAACCGCACCGTTGGGTGACAAATGAGTCAAAAGCTCAAAACCCGGTATTAAAATGTGACATCTTCACATGAGTCACAATCAAAAACCCTTCTCAATTCTTCACATGGTATTAAAATGGTCGTAATCCCAGAACCATGTGAAGAAATAAGAAGGCGGATATCCGCAACTATTTGCTGGGACCTTTATCTGCCCGGGTTTTGTTTGTGGCTCACATGGAGACGTCTGCAGATCCGCCACGGAAAGAACTGCACAAATGCGATCCGGGGTATTCATTGGCAGAAGGAGCTGGTGTCTTACATGGGGACCCCATCGTGGCAACTTGCTAAAAAGGAGGCAATGTGATATTCTGGCCGCTCGCGCCTCCCGCTCTTTCGCTTCCTCCCGCTCCATTGCATCAATCCATGACTCGTCCACAGGCGCCTGCCACTTAGCACAGATTTTCAGATGTGCCGAAAGTGACATGAACATTCAATAGAAGTGACCCCAATTTCGCTTGCAATTTGGGCAGCCATCTAGCAAGTTGACGTGCATCCATCAACCAGAGGAGTGGCTTCCAGTGATAGCAATATAGCCCATTCCTACAACTACTGTGGTCAATCTTAAGAATATGTTCTTGATATCGTTTGTGTGTGTGTGTGGCCCTAGAAGTCTATGTCCCACAACCATGACCAATGCTCTTCCCGGTGGCTCACCCGCGTGCCTCAGTCATGGGGGCTGCTGCTTGCGCTGCAGCCTTCTCAGCCGCAGCCTGCGCCTTCAGCTTGGCCCCAAAACCGTAGGTGACTTGCACGCGGACCGGCTCTCTTATTCATGGGCCGAGTTTTGTCGAAGTTTGTTACCTTTTGGCAAACCTTCCACTCAGCCACTGTCCCGTTCCTCAAAGTGCTGGCATTTTGAGGGCTTCTCAAAGTCACTGGGACCTCCCTCTCCCCCCCCCGAACCACCAGGAATTTGGACCCCGTCTCGCCCCAACTTCGCGACCTCGCGACCTCGCCTTGGCCTCTCGGCGCTGCCGCAGGCGCTGCACCGCACTGGTGGGCCTGGCAAGAGGCGCTTGGCTTCCGGAAGAAAAAAAAAAAAGCGTGGCGTTGCTTTTGGTCTAGCTCCAAAAAATACGATCTCCCCAAGTGGAAATGGTGGTATGTTGAGGATGTATTTGTTTCTCCGGTATGCGTTTGGCTTGCAAAGGGAAAGCAACAAAGAAGCCTCTGACGGTGTGGGCGACTCCCGTAGACATACAACAAACATCAGGGTTTGTGCCACCTTCCTCCAATGTCGTGTTTTCTCTGAGGTTGGTTTGCCGAGCAAAAGGAAACCAACATGTTGGGGTTCTCTAGTGGCCTCGGACGAATATTCCTTTGTCTGAGTCAAACCCAGCAGGCGCCACGGAGGAGAGTCGCTCCTAGGCCGAGCCTTGAAGCGAGCAGAAAAGGAGTGACAGCGAAATCTATGAAAGGAGTTGACCCAAAACTATGTATACAATTTTCAAGAGGCTGCACCGGTTTATGGTCTGGGACTGTAACTGCCCGGGTATTGATTGCTCTTTATTTGCAACAAGCACATGTTGGTATGAATGGAACAATGTTGATGCATTTCAAGCGTTGATTTTTCAGAACTTTGCACTAGATGTAGCTGAGCCGCAGATTGCCGAGCTGAGAGCCCAGGGACGATGAAGTTCATCCACTCCTGGACGGAGTCTTGAGAAGGTGTGCGCTTGTGTGTGTGTGGGCGTGAGAGACAAAGAGAGGGATAGAGAGAGGAGTGAGAGAGAAAGCAGAGTTCGAACATGTCTTTACAAGCTGCTTCGCACCAACGTCCCTGTCTCTGCGACACAGTCTCCACTTCAAACCGACGAGAATCCAGCCTTCGGCACTGTCACCGAGCCTGGCGCCTGATCGGATTGGACCCACGTGGCATTTCTTTCCGACATGTCCAGCCTCGCTGCTCATGCTCATGCTGATCGGATCCCATGCCAAGTCCCCGGTCTCCTGCTCCCCTCTCTCACCAAGTCACGTCGGCACTCGGCGTCTCACTTGCATTTGGATTCAGAGAAGGGAAAAACGGAAAAGAACTGGCAGAAAATTCGCGTTTCGCAAAACTGGGTACATGCAAAGAGGGGTCCTCCATTTTCAAACAGACTTGACATGCTTCCATCTGCATCCACAGCATGCATTCGTGCGCTGTGTGTCCTTCTCGGCCTGTGCCGCCTCTTGGCTTGGCCTTGATTGTCTTAAGGGTCCATAATCTGAACAACCACGAAAACGACAGCTTGCCACAAAGAACAAGCTCTGCCAACTCCCACTTTTCCCAAAGGGGTAATAATTCTGCAAGAAGCATCGAACGCACCACAAGAAAGGCAATCATCACACCAACATGGGCACTTTCGGAGACTTAAGGCCAGGGCCGAGCACCTCTGGGACCTGGCGATGTTGACGGCTGCACCCAGAACGCGCGGGGTAAGCAAACCTGCGTCCCACATCGAGCCTCGATTCTCCTTTCGCGGATCACGCTTAGCTCGCAAAGGCCTGGGGCCAAATGAGCGGTAAAAACACACAACAAGGCAACAGGGAGCATAAAAAATCTAAAGCAAAACTTGACACTGTGCGTCGCCTCTTCGCTTCGTCCGCCTGAGAAAATCTGAGACTCAACGTTGCAGAAAGGTGCAACATCCACTGGGGGGGGAGGGAGCCTTAGGTCCTTAGGTCCCTGTTCGAATAAGAAGAATCACAGTTTGGGCCATGCTGAGATGCAACTCAAGGATCGGGTGTTACAGTAGCAACTGTGGATTCGCTTTCGCGCCTTTCCCAAGATCTCATTGAACTTGGGGCTGATGGCCCCCAAAGCGTTCTGGGCCTTATCCTGGCATTGTCACTGTGAGTGCTTGGAGAGGATGGAGGGGGCTCCAGGCTGGGGATGTGGGGAGGGATGGATGTGCGTAGGTGGCTGGATGGGTTGAGAAATGGACAGTTAGAGGTGAAGCTAGTAGCAAACTCAAGCTCTCGTCAGCATGATTGACGGGAACTGAGATGCTGCATGTCCGTGTGAGCTGCCCAAGAAGAGAAACAGGAAGTGTTGCTTGTAGTGATCTTTGTAGACCACTGTACATCAAACACATTCAAACACTCTTCGCCTCTGCGTTCCTTCGACTAATTTGGCCGCGGCACCAAAGCCGCTTCCAGCACAACGTAGACGGGCTCCAAGGCTTCGTCGCAAGCGTCCAGGCCCTTGCACCTCAAACGGTCGTGCCCATCCTACATCAACCTGAATGAAGCCCTTCTTTTTTCCTGGGACCTCAGAATCCTTAGGGTAATGCTCAAAACCTCCGCTGTGTTTACTCAAAACCCATGGCAAGGAATCACAAGAAGAAGGAAGACGAAAAAAACTAGACCACGGTTGGCCCGAAAGCAACACAGCCCCGTGACCATTCTGCGCAAGCTGCTCTGGGAAAGGTGCTTTGCGCAAACTGGTCTGTGCCAGTTGCTCTGCGCAAGTTGCTCTGCGCAAGTTGCTCTGCGCAAGTTGCTCTGCGCAAGTTGCTCTGTGCAAGTTGCTCCGCGCAAGTTGCTCCGTGCAAGTTGCTCCCTGCAAGTTGCTCTGTGCACGCTGCTCTGCGCAAGTTGCTCTGCGCAAGTTGCTCTGCGCAAGCTGCTCTGCGTAAGAAACTCTGTGCAACTGACTCTGTTCAAATGTCTCTGTGCAAGTTCCTCTGTGCAAGTTGTTCTGCGCAAGTTGCTCTGTGCAAGTTGCTCTGGGCAAGGTGCTCTGCGCAAACTGGTCGGTGCAAGTTGGTCTGCGCAAGTTGCTCTGCGCAAGTTGCTCCGCGCAAGTTGCTCCGTGCAAGTTGGTCCCTGCAAGTGGCTCCCTGCAAGTTCCTCTGTGCAAGTTGTTCTGCGCAAGTTGCTCTGCGCAAGTTGCTCCGCGCAAGTTGGTCCCTGCAAGTGGCTCCCTGCAAGCCCCTCTGTGCAAAAATTGCTCCATGCAAGTTGCTCCCTGCAAGTTGCTCTGTGCAAGCCGCTCTGCGCAGGTTGCTCTGCGCAAGTTGCTCTGCGTAAGTTGCTCTGCGCAAGTTGCTCTAGGCAAGGCACTCTGCGGAAACTGGTCTGTGCAAGTTGCTCTGCGCAAGTTGCTCTGCGCAAGTTGCTCTGCGGAAAATGGTCGCGCAACTTGCTCTGTGCAAGTTGCTCTGCGCAGGGGGGGATCGAACCCGCAACCCGCCGGTCCCGGAGCAGGCTCGCGAGCCACGAGACAACTCCTGAGGACCAGTTCGAACAACAAAAAGCGCAAAAACCTCGAGTTTTTGCACCTCGACCACGCCGATCCCCGCAGAGGGTCGCGCGAGCGCCGCAGAAATCGTAAAAAACAACCCTGAGTTTTTGCACCTCGCGAGCGCCGCAGAAATCGTAAAAAAACCCTGAGTTTTTGCACCTCGCGAGCACCGCAGAAATCGTAAAAAACCTCGAGTTTTTGCACCTCGACCACGCTGATCCCCGCAGAGGGGCGAGCGCCGCAGAAATCGTAAAAAACCTCGAGTTTTTGCACCTCGACCACGCCGACCCCCGCACAGGGTTGCGCGAGCGCCGCAAAAATCGTAAAACACCACGAGTTTTTGCACCTCGACCACGCCGATCCGCGCAGAGGGTCGCGCGGGCCCAAACAAAATCGCAAAAACCCTCGACCTCGACCACGCCGATCCCCGCAGAGGGTCGCGCGGGCCAAAACAAAATTGCAAAAAACCACGAATTTTTGCACCTCGACCACGCCAATCCTCGCAGAGGGTCGATTTTCGTAGAGTGTCGTCGGCACTACCCCGCCGCCCTAAGAAGAGATTTTAACTCCTCGCAAGTCAATTGCACTTGACGTCATTGCAAGGAGTCATTGCAAGGAGTCATTGCAAGGAGTCATTGCAAGGAGTCATGAGAGTCATTGCAAGTTGCAAGGAGTCAAGTGCAAGTCGCAAGTGCATGGAGTCAACTGCAACTTGCAAGTGCATGGAGTCAAGTGCAAGTTGCAAGTGCAAGGATTCTTGCAATGACGTTCATGATGATGATTCCTTGCAATGACACCTTGCAATGACTTTCATGATGATGATTCCTTGCAATGACTCCTTGCAATGACTGTCATGAGAACAACTCAAGTGAACCCAGCGGAAGAACCCTTCGCCGTGCTTTCGGGAAACGGAGACCGCATGGTTGAGACCGTTTTCATGGAATGCGCAGGTGCCGCTCGGCTTCCGATGCCCCAAGTTCGGCGCACTGCTGAGCTCACACGCCGCAATGGCCTAGGCAGCGCGAGCAGCCGCTTCCCCACTGGATGGGTGGCATTTTACCGGCATTCAAGGTTTCATACGGGACGCAGGAATTTGGCGCATTCCAAGCAGCCGCGTCGGCCGGCTGAAGTTTGAAAAGAACTCAGACGTCGGCTTCCAGCAGCTCACATGGTCGTATGCTGCCTGCAGCTACAAAGAGAGCTTCACACAAAGGAACTTGCACGTACGAAAGGGACTCAGCTTTGCCTGGGCTGCATCTTCTAGATGGAGCGCCCAGCGCTCCGACCAAGTCCTGGAATCCAAGGCAGGGCTGGCTGTGCGACAAAGCTTTCTGACGTGTCACACCATCCTTGGTGGTTGAGCACCGCGTCGTCTTCGACGCAAATTAGGAGCTGCGTCTCCAACCTGAAATGCTAAAACACAGAAGTACAATGCAGCGTGGGCTTGGCTGAGCTTGGCTCCTTTCTTAAGTTCAAGTTTGCCGAGCATGACAAATGCAAGATGAAATGACGGACGACAACACATTCGGGAAACCTGATAAGCGCGTGGCAATGAATCGGCGGATAGCGCAGCCAACGGCCACACCAAGAGCCACACAGCACAAAAACCTCGGCGAGGAGTTTTTCTTGAGTGGTGCCCGAGATACATTTTTCCGCTGCTGGCAATGCTTCCTGAGGATGGAGCGTTGCTGCAGCAGAAATGAAGGACAAAAGCGAGCTAAATCCTGCGAGGCAATGCCGATCACAGCCTTCGATTCTCAAGATGTTGTTCGCATGAACTTTACTCCTCAAGATACAGTCATTTAAACTGTTTGCAAAAAAAAAAAAAAAAAAACATACCAAGGAGTCAACGGCGACGGAATAGAAGGATTCATCCCGCCCTTGCCTGTCAATGAAGGTGCAGATCCCGGCTGACAGCCTCATGCGCGACACGCCTATGCGAGTCTCACTCGTGGCTCGAAAGCAACCAACATTTACCATGTCTGACGATTCAAACCTTGACTTCCGGATTACCCAAAAAAACTAAAACTAGACATGAACAGTGGGCTCGCAATGGGAGCCTGAAGCCCCCCCCCCTCAGCGCGTCGCTAAAGCAGTCGTCAGCTTGACGTGCCTTTCGCTAGACACATCCGTCACCTCTGACCGGTCAGGCCTGGCCTTGAAGAAGCCGGGCTTGCACTCGCACGGTCCAGGTGAACAAGCAGGCGACCTCAGTCAGCCAAGTAGCTGGTGGCAATGGCCGGCTTTTCCCTAACCAAAGGAGACCCTGAACTTCACTGCCATTGGCAAAAGCTCGGTCAGCCACGAGGAGCACGTCGGAAGTGGAGGTGCACACCTCAGCCAGGATCCAGCTCTCTCTCGGACAGGTTGACCGGATTGTTCTGTGGAGTCAAGCAAACTGAGAATGCAACAAATAGCAGGTCGATCTGTTGATTGTTTGCAGTGCCTCAGCCAGATCGAAATGGCCATGGCCAAACTTACGAAATGGCCCCTGCCTTGCGAACATGAGTGGGATCTTCACAGCGACATTGTTCTGTACTGCATTGAGAAGGATCTGTTGTACACATGTACCTGATGAACTATCTCAACAGCATCAATTCAAATAATGCACTCATTTCAAAGAGTACACCGCAGGTCAGCATCAACTGCCCCTGATAGACTGAGCCAAGCAGAAAAACAGGCCAAACACTTCCAAAGGCATCTCGAGGCTTAGTTTGCAGCTTGCCTTCAATGATCGATGCTCAGCTGTTTCAGCTGCAACATGACAAGCAAAGAGGGTCTGACTGCTGCGGCTGGCGCACTCAACAGAGTGCAGACATTGCTTCCCTCTGCCGGTGCAGTAGACGTTCTTCGAATCCTGCAAAAACCAGAACAGCAACTCCAAATGAAAGCATACATCGGGGACATCAAGGCTAGGCACGCTTGTGAAAGCAACCTGAAACAAAAGGAACTGAATCTTCGACACATCCCCAAGTGAGCAGCGCCCAAAATTAATCAATTTGTGCTGCAAAACGTGCGCATAGAACTTACAATTGGCCCTATTGAAGCAGGTAGAACCAACTACCAAATAGGTCAGGGGCTTCGCAGGCTACTCAAGTCAGCAAGCTTCTTTTGGCACAGGCCTCTTCACCTCGACTGCGTTGCGTGAACTTTGCACTGCTGTCAGGCGTGCCTGCAGGCCAAAAGGCTGCGACTCACTTTTGTGCCAATCGAACGCAGCCGTTCCCGGCCTCGGCACTGAACCACCTGCCAAGATTCGTCAGCCCAAGTCAAACCTCGGGGCATTGCAAGCAGCCACCATTGAGGGACAATCAGACATGCTAAGGCAAGGACAACTGTTGGAAGGCTTGGCTAGCATCGCTGCTCCGTTAAAACGGAAAACTGTACCTGCTGCGCTTCTCTGCATTCTCTCACATGATGATTTTAAGATCAGGAATTGAGGCATGGTTTACCTGCCTTCACACAAACAAAAGGCTCAGCTCTGATCAGCCTCTTCAAAGCACATAAAAACAACAGTCCATGCTAGTTTCGAAATGACGGTAGTCTGCTCAAGACATTCCGCACATTTCCCTGATTCTTGAAAATGGGCGAGCGACATGATTTGGAGGAAGGCAGTGGTTCGAACACGCGAAATGCAACATGCCTGCAGGACCCATTGATACACAAATGTTTGCTCGAGCTTTCGTGGCAAATAAATCTCAATTAGCAAGCCTTATCTCGACTCTGTCTCGGAAGCGCGCATGTTCCATTTGGTCCTCTTGGCTGCAGGCCTAGCATTACACATGCAATGCGACGGCATTTCACCCGCGCATTCGGGTGCTTGAGGCGATTGCTATCGGACAACTCCAGGCAGTCGCCGTGATCCCCACCTGGCAGGGCCAACCCAACTCGCCCGCCCCAACGGTTTTTCTTGGGCTGGGGAGCGAGGCAACTCAGGCTCCGGCGAAGCGTCATGTCCACATGCGGGTGCACCTCAGAGGAAACATTCAGCTGGCAGTCAGTAAGGTCTTCCTTTCGGTTTGCCTCTCCAATGCACAAAGGCCCCAGCGCACTGCAAGCAGGGTTTTTGCTCGGTGCCAATGTCAATCCTTGGTAACACAGCTGCAGAGGCAGATTTCAGTTTTGCTTGGTTGGGAAGCTCCAGTCAAACAATGCACGGGCAAGCCAAGTAGCCGGGGCCAGGAAGGGTCTTCGCACTCGCATGCCTTCAAGGATACTCATGACAGCTGTTCCACAGCTGGACGTGAAAACAACACCAAGACCGCAAGGGCCGGTCAATGGTGGTTCGAGGGCGCAGACTTCAGACGAGCCAAGATCCCCGCTGTGGAAGAGCAAGCAGTGTCTCCTTCTGGAACTGCCTTGGAGGTGATGGTGCCTACTGAAGAGTTTCATCTTGAAGTGAGGTGTCACAAATTCGATTGCAAGTGATGCACAATGAACAAGCGCGTGACTGGGCAGAATTCTTCCACACATTGGGAGCATGCTTGCGCATCCTGGCACAAGCCCCCTAGGCTGGAAGCCATCATGTTCACACGTTTGGTTGCCGGAATGCGGACTTGGATCACATATGTATATACATATAATTACTATGTACGCACATGTACATATTATATATATATATATATACATGCAGCAACTATTTATCCGTCGATTCAAACTCTTGCATCTGTCAGGACATTGCATGCCCCACGTGTTTGGCAAACAAACATAGCTGGCACAGCTGGTGTCGCGGCCTGTGTCACCAAATCCCGCTTCATCAAAGGGAAGGGGCAGGTGCATCCTCCCGGCCTCAGCTCGCTCAAGCGCGCGGCGACCCGAGGTTTCGCTCGGGATGTCCTTCAAATGGGGGTCAACCTAACCATTCCAAAGAGGCAATGGCCTGACTGATGGGTCGAGCTTGAAACACTGTGTCTTCCATTGCCGCACGTAGCTCGACGACCTCGAAGGCTCACTTTTTGCTAAGGCAAACTGGCCGTTTCAAGATCAGCCGACCTCCAGGGTTACTCCGCATCTTGCTGCATCCTCTGCCACTGACGCGACAGCATGTCTCATGTCAAGCTTGGCAAAACTGCTGGAGATGTCTTGGAACAGGCTTGCCGCCTCTTCAGTGCTTCCAGCGTCGGCCAGCTCTTCAGCGTCATCCAATTGAAAGCGCAGTCGGCCGACTTCCCGCACGAGGCCTTCGATCTCTGTGCCATTGCATCGCCTGAGCAAACCATCTGAAGCGAAGTCCTCCATGGAGAATAGAGCGCCCATGTCCAGAAGGACCTTGACAACGCTCGCGTGGTCATTCAAGCAGGCCAATTGGAAGGGCCGCTGACCAGTCCCAGTTTCAGTATCTGGCTTGGCGCCCCTGGTGCAAAGCAGCTCCACCACCTTTGGGTGACCCTTGGCTGCTGCGTGGTGGATGGCCTGCCACGTGTCCCCAGAGACTGCATAAGGGATGGCCCGTCTGTCCAGCAGCATGTCGCACACATCAGCGTGGCCGCCGCCGGCCGCCCAATGCAGCGGCCGGAGCCCGGTAAACGTTCCCTCCTCGATGCGTGCCTTCCTGTCCAGTAGCAGCTCGCACACGTCATACTGGCCGTGCTTGCAGGCCTCATGAAGGGGATGCCTGCCGTCCAAAATCTCCTCGGCATCCAGCTCTGCTTTGGCCTCCAGCAGCAACAGGCACATGTCTCTGGAGCCATTCCGTGCGGCCAAATGCAGAAAGCACTCCCTCCTTGGCCACAAAGGGGCATTCACATTTACACAGCGCTTTGCAGCGCCAAAGCGCAAAACTGCCTGTGCTAAAGACACATCCCCCGTCTCTACCGCCTTCTGCAACTCTGTATTGGTGGCAGCCTGCTTCAAGACGGTCTGGTTGCTAGAAGGGCCCTTGTACCGAACCACATTGTTCAACTCTTCAGGCTTCGGCAGCTGGCGTTGCACCTCCCCGAAAGTTGGAATCGCCATGGCACTGAGGGCTCCAAAAAAAGGCTCAAGCCACAAACTTTCAACCAACAGCTGCCAAAAATCGGGAAAAAACAAGCCGCAAGACCACAAGCTCACAAGCCCTGCATGAAATGTCAACGATGGAAACCCACACACCCATGCATGATTTCTTATGCTCAAGAACAGCACGCTTGCCACACCATCTCAGGTCCGCGCGTGCACATCCCTTGCTCGGAGGTGCATTGGCTGGTCATAAACCTGCAGCATGTCCCCAGTAGGAAAAAAAATAGTTTGGTCAGAGCAGTCACGGTTTGAATAGTTGGAACTGCTATGCCCAGCGCACCAAAAAGTCCTCGGTACTTTTTGCATTCGAACCTGTAGGATCAGAACAGTCTGCATTGCCGACCATTGCCAATTCTTTGCCAAATAAACATCAAAAGTGTATGTTTTCCTCATGCGGTGGGGAATTGATGGCACAATCCTCGCTGCTGACTGAAGCTACATGTTCAATGAGTCATCGTTGTGTGTGTGTGTCCTTGTGGTCCATTCCTGCATATTTGACTGCTAGCTGCATGTGTGCAATGTGTAGTTCAAATTGCTCTGAACCATGCATGCAAGGACAATAGATCAGCTACACGAAATCCCAAGCCCATGAGGGTTGGATTGACTTCTGGCATGCCTTGGCAGTACTTGGCCAGAAAGCCCGAAGGCAACCACGAACATCACCACTGAAAGGCTGCATACCCACCTCAGCGCAATCCCACGGCGGTTCCCGGTTCCGCTGGCCAGCCGGCTAAGACCAGAGCTGGGTGGACCAATGGTCGCCATGAGAACCCTTAGCCGGACGTGATGGAAGCTCCCGACACGCAAGTACCCATCAGAGCTGCGGGCATTGCTTTCAGCAGCGCTCTTCCGAGTCATTTGACACACAAGGACCTCGATGTGCACCTGGTACCAGGCAAAGACTCACTAGCCCTGGCACTGCATGCAAGCCCCGGCGTGCCTTGGTTTCATGCAATCAATGCAATCCAATGCAATGCACAAGGCAAATAATGCGTCGACAGTTTGAAAATGGTTCATCTTGAAAGTTGTTTCGATTCGGTGACTACAAAGTACATGAAACAGTTGTTCGTGCAGCTTCGCCGTTTCCGTTGGGCATGTCTTTGATTCTACACAGCTGCAGTTTCATGGCCCGGCATGTACAAATGTCACCCGTGGGCAGATCAAAGCCTTCACGGCATCACGGCCGGAAAAATAAATGTTTACTACAGGTCGATTTCAATCATGACTGTATCTTTCCCAAGAACATATTTCTTTGCACCTGGCCATGTTGTTGGTACATCCTTTCCATCATGCCACACCTCGTCAATGCAATGCGCAACATCAGTCGTCGCGCTTGCTTCAAAACGCGCTTTCTCGCTTCTGACTACAAAAGGGTCTCTTTTGTTTGCAGTTGTGGTAAATGCATTGTTGTCCGGACCCTTGCCATTTTCTCATCCGAACAACTGTTTGTTCCAACAAGAGCCAAAATATTTCGAAATCAAACACGGTCAGCCGTGCAAACACATAAAGCACTGGGCAAAGACTGATCCACAAGAATGAAACAACAATGGCAGAACAACAAAATGAAGCAGTCATGTCCCACAATAAAACAAACGCTATTACTTGATCCGGTCCCTCCCTCGCTATTTATGTTTGTTGCTTGCTGGTGAACCATGCTTTTTGACTGACTGATATGCGACGTGCATTGGCAAGGGCACGCGAGCAGTCACCACTGGAGGTTTATTGCTGTCCAACTATGCGAATGAGGCGCACTGATCCACATAAACAAATATTGACAAGCGAAAAAGGATCATTCCAACATCTGAAAGCATAGAGTCGTCCCAAAAAGTGGATAACATTTAGTTGCCGCGCTCAAGTGTGAAACCTCAGTAGACTGGCACCAGCCGAACTGTGAAGATCGCGCGCATCAGGAACGAGAATCAAGTGGGGGTCGACATACTAATGTTCATCTCCCTTTCCACTCTAATCTTAAAGCACAGCTACGCTCGCCATCATGCATCATGCATAACACAGCCTCGTTTTCGCAGTGGATTGTTTTTCAAACAGAAACCCATATCTTTCGGTTGCCACAGGTTTTGCCTTTAGAAGAAGGGTTTTTTCTTACTCAGGGACTGTGAATGTTGCATTTTTTGGCTTATGGGTTCTGTACAGTTTGTGTGAGGCCGAGCAAGAATCAAAGAGTGTTGGGAATCCTGTTAAGCCTCAAACAGCCAAAGCGATTGCTGCCACGCTGACCATCACCGGGGCGGCGTCCGCGGGCCCGCTGGACTGCGAGAGCCTGGACTGCGCCTTCACGGCCACGCGGCGGAGTGTCGACGGGCAGCGTGGCGCGCGGCGACGTAACGAGCTCGGGCACGGTCTCCGCGCCGCAGCTCTTCGCCCAACACGCTCACCGTGACCAATACCTCCGACTTCTCGGACGATCTCTTCTTGAGAAGACTGGCGGGCTGGAGCAAGCTGCAGATTTCCAACAACAGCGCAACCTCCGACAGCGGCCCAGAGCTGCGGCTGCCAGAGCGCGCGGGTCTTCCTGGAGCGGGACGGAGCGCACCAGTGCGAGCTGATCATGATCAACGACAAGGCGCTGGCGCAGACGAAGAGTCTCTCGACGCAGCTGTCCCTGACCACGAACCAGAGGAACCCCGGCTACCTCGTGATCGCCGGCAACACGGGCAACGTGGTCTGCAACACGAGCTTAGTTCGGCCAGCCGTCACGGAGACCGACTCTCCCTCAAAGGCTGAAGCCCTGATCTGCATCTGCACAGGTCCAGCGCGCCCGCCGACTGCTGCACCAGCCCGGATCGACCCGTCGAAGGCGTGCGCGGCCGTGCCGAGGAAGGTGCCAGTGACCCACGTAGTTGCGGCAGCCCTGACGTACATCACCAAGTTGGAAGCCGTGCTTAGCCGGTTACCGCAGCCGAAGGAGTAGCGTCTCCCTGGCACGATGTTCCAGGCGCTCAAAATCATGGCATAGAAGCCTTCCACCGTGAAGCGTTCTTAGATTTGCTAAATCCTTAGATGCGAGCTGTTCGGGCGCAAGCCAGCCTTTCACACAAATGGACCACGTGATCTGCCAATTTCGGCAGCCAAGCAGCGTTTCCACAAATCGACGTGGTTTTGGCCACAAAACCGTTTTTGCACATTGGGCCATGCGATTTGGCAGGTTTTGCTTTGTGTGCCTAGCTTTGAACTTTTGAGAAGCTGGGCCCCAAAGCAAAAAAAATTGCACGAGCATTTTGCTAGGCGAGGGAAAAAGCAAAGGGACACGTGCGTTTCCTCCTAGGCGGCGTGTTTAAGGTAAAGGCATAGAGTCGTCAATCCAAGCGCCAAGACGATTTTGAATTGTTACGCAGTCTTTGCAGAACTGACGGGCCGCGAAAAACACGGCCGACGAAAAAACACAGGCAGAAGCGGAAGACACGCAAGACGGAAAGCAAAAAAAACGTTGCAGAGAAGCGGCCGCAGCCAAGAAGGCCAAAGCGGCCGGCAAGAAGCGGGCTAACGGGGAAGCGGCGCAGCTGCAGCTGCAGCGGGCTTTGCCGTGCGCTTTTTCCAGATGTTCTGCTAAGGGTCGACAGTGTTGAGTCGACAGCAAAACATGCGGGCAGCCCCGCAGAGAAGTAACGCAGGTGGGGCGGACCGAGGCTGCGCAGACTGGCTTTCACTCTGGGGAACTTCTGCCTGCGGCACTTCCGCGCCTTTCTTTGCATCTGCAACTGCGTTTTTCGCCAGCTCTTGCGCCTGGCTGTCGCCGCTTGGCTCCTCAACGCCGGCCTTTTGCTGGGACTCGGACTGGGCAGCAGCTGTTGCCGTGGGGGCTTTTCTTGAATCGCCTCTTTGTTAAGGCATGTAGCACTGCTTCCAGGGCACTGGTGCGCCTGGAACAGGAGGTGTGTTGACCCCCCGTGAACTAAAACGAAGACAATGCGTGTCCTTGCAAGTAAATGCAGTGCTTGCAGGGCGTGGCATGCGTGCCCGCGCCAAGGTCCGGAGACTGAATGGTCCGGAGACCAGAGTTGGTCCGGAGACAGTGCAGGGTGGGTGGGTTTTAAATGAAACCGCAGGTTTGGGTCAAGGCTAGGAGCAAAACGGCCACCGCGTGGTTCGATTCACAACATGCTCTAAACACAAGGGAAAAGAAACCCTAAGCGTTAAGGCATGTTGCACTGCTCCTAGCTTGAACCCAAACATGAACCCCCCTTTTTTTTTAGAGGGGGTTCTCAAAGGGATTCTATTCTACCTGAGAGGCTCCTAGCACTCGTCCGTCCAGGAAATGACCTCGTTCTGCGAAGGATTCGAAGTTTAAAACGCTGCGCGCAGGCGTGTGGCTGCAAAACAATGACCCCTAGATATGCTTGCAATTTGGCTCCAGGAGTAGTAAGGAACATAGGCTTATAGTATCCAATTAATTTTCGGATTTTGGGCCAAAAACCCTGCAAAACAGCCAAATTCTTCAACCCGCTGAACGTTTTTCCGATGTCACCGTTCAATGTCACCACTCCGTTTTTGGTGCAAAAAGCGCTGAAAACGGCGAACTCCGAAAAGTGCGTTTTTTCGTGTCCTGCGTCAAAAGTGCAGCCCGGGCCTCCAAATTCGCTCGTTTTCCTGCGAAAACCGGTTCCAGGTGTTTGCAGTGCTCCGAAATCCGTATTCTACCCCGAAAAACCTGCGAATTCCAGCCCGCCGAGCTTGTCACCGCCGAAGTCACCGGTCTCTAACACGTCAGCCCGCCGAGGCACAGCCCAGAGCCAGCCAGCGTCTGACGCGACAGCCCGCCGAGGTGCTCCCGAGTAACACGTCAGCCCGCCGAGGTTTTTCCACGTAACGCGTCAGCCCGCCGAGCTTGTCACCGCCGATGTCACCGGTCTCTAACACGTCAGCCCGCCGAGGCCCCGGGAGGAATCGAGCCTCCGAAACGTCGCTACGGAGAGCAAACGCCTAAACCATCTCACCATGGGCTCTCGCTACCTGTCCAAAACGGCGCTTTTTGGCCCAAAAACACGGTCATCAGCGATGTCACCGCTTCGTCACCGCTCTCTCTTTGGGGCCGAAAAGTGCGCAAAAGGCTTGGAAAAGCGAGGCCGGCTCCGCGGCTTCGGTCTGAGCGAGGCCGGCTCCGCGGCTTCGGTCCAGAGCCGAACATTTCTCCACCGAAGTGTGTCGGAAAAAAACACACATGCCCCGTTACAAATTCCACGCCAACGTGCGGGCCTGGTGCGGGCCTGGTGCGTGCCTGCTGCGGGCCCTCTCTACAGCGAATTTAAAGAAGCTCACCGTTTGAGCTCCTTCAGCAAAGTCTAAGACGTTACAAATTCCACGCCAACGTCACTCACACGCCCTGCCGTCAATCCTGTTGTGAGCGTGGCAACAGGATTGCTCCGGCCATTCCTGTCGCCACAGCAGGATTGCCCTGATGCAGCACCAGCAGCTCTGGCTTGGAGCTGTTCTTGCCCGAGCACAGCCTTGTGATGGAGCCGGCCCTGCGGTAGAGCTCCCAGGCTTCAGGCACGTCGTTTATGCTTACGAGGAAGGGCAGGCCGCTTGCGAAGAGCGCGTCTCGGAGCTCCGAGTGGAAGGCCAGGTCATGCCCCCGCCTTCTCGTGCCATAGTAGTTCATGCTGCGGCCTGGAAAGATGTAGGGAGGATCGGCATGGATACAATGCCGCGGCGCTTGGCTGGGCAGAGCGCGCAGATGGGCCAGTGCGTCCTGGCATCGCACGGTCACGTTTGTGGGAGGCCGTTGCAGACGCCGCACGCTGCTCAGCGCCAGTGGCCGCTGCTGTGCGAAGGAGCCCCACTTTCCCGAGAAGCTGTTGCGCAGCAGGACGTACGAGCAGGCGGCCCGGCGCCCGGCGCGGCCTCTCTGAGTGCCCGGCAGGAGGCGACTGAAGTAGAAGAGCCTGTCTATCTTGCGTCCAGCCAGGCGCAGCAAGGAGCGCAGGAAGACCGGGTCTTGCCTTAAGGAGCAGCGGTGCAGGTTTGCGACGGGC